AGACGGAGTTTCGCTCTTGTTACCCAGGCTGGAGTGCAATGGCGCAATCTCGGCTCACCGCAACCTCCGCCTCCTGGGTTCAGGCAATTCTCCTGCCTCAGCCTCCTGAGTAGCTGGGATTACTGGCACGCACCACCACGCCCAGCTAATTTTTTGTAGCTTTAGTAGAGACGGGGTTTCACCATGTTAACCAGGATGGTCTCGATCTCTTGACCTTGTGATCCACCCGCCTCGGCCTCCCAAAGTGCTGGGATTACAGGCTTGAGCCACTGCGCCCGGCCTGAGACACAGTTTTATGATGTTGCCCAGGCTGGTGTTGAACTCTTGGGCTCAAGTGATCCCCCATCCTCAGCCTCCCGAAGTCCTGGGATTACAGGCATGAGCCACTGTGCCCAGCCTCTATTTGCATTTTTTTTTTTTTTTTTTTTTTGAGACAGAGTCTCGCTCTGTTGCCCGGCTGGAGTGCTGTGGCACGATTTCTGCTCACTGCAACCTCTGCTTCCTGGGTTCAAGCGATTCTCTGCCTCAGCCTCCCGATTAGCTGGGATTAACAGACAACCGCCACCACGCCTGGCTAATTTTTGTATTTTTAGTAGAGACGGGGTTTCACCATCTTGGCCAGGCTGGTCTTGAACTCCTGACCTTGTAATTTACCCGCCTTAGTCTCCCAAAGTGCTGGGAGTACAGGCATGAGCCACCGTGCCCAGCCTCTACTTGCCCTTTTTAACTTGACATCACACTTGGCCACCTATCCATGCCTATGCTTGGAGACACATAAGCGTTACTGTCCTCCTCCAGCAGCAGGAAGTTTATGGCTTCTCCAGTGTTACACAGGACAGCCCTGCATCGCAAATAGCTCCACAGTGTCAGCTGAAGTAGAATCCTCAGGGGAGAAGCCTGGCTTCCAGAAAACAGGCCTTTTTGCATTTGTGGGTTTAAAGATGTTAAATGTAATCGACCGCCTTCCTGGGGAATGATTATTTTGGGCTCAGATTCACCAAAGCGCCTGCCCTTGGAGTGGTGACCTTCCTTCCCTAGGACGGAAGGGGAGAATGAAAGAGCAAATTCATAACTTGGGCTCACGGTGATTGGTGCTAATCCCTGGCATGTTCTCAGTTTGAAGTAAATTGTGGGGCAAGGAGTGCTTTTTCAGATGATCAGCTTCTGGTTTCCCAGGGGCAGCCAGGAGAGGGGTCCCAGGGTTGGGACTGAGGGGCAGAAGGGAAAAAGGGGGAGGCCTTGGGTTATATAAACTCCCGTGTTATAGGAGGTGCTCCGTTACAAAATGAATTCTGGCCTGCTGTCCTAAGGATGCCGCCCCATACCCGCTCTGTCTACTTGAAGTGAATACCCAGGGACTCGTCTCCTGGTTGGGAGAGAGGATGTGAGGTGCACTGTAAGGATGGACTGGGCCCTCCCACCTTCCCCACAGAGGGCTGCAGGAACTTTCAAACCTGGACATGCCAGGGCCTGATCCTCTCTGGTTTCTGCTGGAACTAGGAAGGGATTTAGCATGGTGGAGGGCAGGGCAGGTTCTTTCTGTCCTTGAGCTGTCTTTCCACAAAGTACATTTAAGTCGCTCCTTCTTCAGTTTCCTTGTAAGCCAGGAAGGTTACAAATCTCTTTTTTCTTTTTTTTTTTTGAGACGGAGTCTTGCTTTGTCACCCAGGCTGGAGTGAGTGCAGCGGCCCGATCTCAGCTCACTGCAAGCTCCGCCTCCCGGGTTCAAGCGATTCTCCTGGCTCAGCCTCCCAAGCAACTGGTATTACAGGCACATGCCACCATGCCTGGCTAATTTTTTGTATTTTTAGTAGAGACCGGGTTTCACTGTGTTAGCCAGGATAGTCTCCATCTCCTGACCTCTTGATCCGCCTCCTGAAGTGCTGGGATTACAGGCGTGAGCCACCACGCCTCCAAGGTTACAAATCTCCTGAGGCTTACAGAGGCTGGAGCGAGTTGGAGGTTATATGGCTGGACCAGCCGAATCACAAACCCAGGTTTCTCTTACTGAGGGAGAAACCTGCCTGCTCTGCTTCTTTCACGGGCATATTGCTAGGATCTCTTTCATTCATTCAGACTCATTCACTCACTCACCAAAGATTTACGGAGTTACTGTAGTCACTATCTAGGGCCCTAGGGGATCAGCAGAAACAAGATAAATAAGGCCCCCAGCCTTGCAGGGCTTCCGTTCTGGTGATTGAAAGAAGTAACTAGGCCATTAAAACAGAGGGTGAGAAATGACGTGCTATGGAGCAGTGGTTGCTCAGCTCTGCGTGCAATCAGAAGCAGGTACGAGACTTAAAAGGAAAGCCAGACATTCAGGCCCCACACTCAGGTCTGGGATAGGGCTATAGTTTGTGAATCTTTCACAAGTTCTCACATGATTCTCATGTACACCAGGGTAAGAAGCACTGCTAAGGGAAGAAGCTATGATGACAAGAATAGCTCTCTTTCCTTTTTTTTTTCAAACTGCGTTTCCCTCTGTCGCCCAGGCTGGAGTGCAGTGGTGCGATCTTGGCTCACTGCAACCTCCACCTCCTGGGTTCAAGTGATTCTCCTGACTCAGCCTCCCTAGTAGCTGGGACTACAGGCGACCACCACCATGCCCAGCTAATATTTGTAATTTTAATAGAGTCAGGGTTTCACCGTGTTGGCCAGGCTGGTCTTGAACTCCTAACCTCAGGTGATCTGCCTGCCTTGGCCTCCCAAAGTGCTGGGATTAAAGGCGTGAGCCACGGAGCCCGGCCAAGAACAGCTGTTTTCGTCCAGCACTCACTATGTATCAGGCATCATGCTTAGTTCTTTCCACCGATTTCCCACAATGACCTTATGAAGTAGGTGTTATATTTGTTCACTTTATTTTATTTTATTCTTTTGAGGTGGAGTCTCACTCTGTTGCCCAGGCTGGAGTGCAGTAAAACAATCTTGGCTCACTGCAATCTCCACCTCCCGGGTTTAAGCAAGTATCCCACCTCAGCCTCCCAAGTAGCTGGAACCACAGGCATGTGCCACCATGCCCAGCTATTATTTTTATTTTTAGTAGAGATGGGATTTCACCATGTTGGCCAGGCTGGTCTTGAACTCCTAACCTCAGGTGATCCGCCCACCTTGGCCTCCCAAAGTGCCAGGATTATAGGCATGAGCCACCACACCCAGCCTTAGGTGTTATATTTGTTTCAGAGATGAGGAAACTGAGGAAAACACGAATTAGCCAAGCTGAGATTCAAACCCAGGCCTTACTTACTCTAGGGCCCAAACTTTAACCAAAAGAGATGATAACCAGCTCTCAGAGTCAACGGGAAAAAATTCAAGTGAAAAACTCTCCTGAAAGCCAGAGAGACACAAGGGTTAACAGTCTTGCGGAGTCCTTGTTTAATGTACTTAAACAGCAGATTCCTTCCAGAAGCCACATGGCTGCTTGTAACAGTTGAGAAATCCATTAGCCAGTTATTAATGACAAGATCTAAACCCTTCCAAGGGAGAGAGCCAAGAAATGCTTTTAATACCCTCTTTTCTGAGGTAATGGCAGCAGAGCCTCTCTCAACCACGGGTTCTGTGCACAGAACGGTGGTGTGGTCCTTCAAAAACCCACAGAGGCAATTTCATCCCCAGATTGGGACTCCCTAGAGATACCCCAAACCACACCCTCATCAGACACAAGAAAATCACTTCTCTCTCTCCTTTCCACCATGACACTTCCAGCCTCCCCCAGGGAAGGAGTTCTCTAGACAGTAGCACAACCCAATTCAGACCCCTGTCCCTGCAGGTGGCAGGTCCCCTCCCCTCACTGCAGCCTCTGGTGATACATGATCTCACCAGCCATCTGACACTGCACCCCGAAACCTCAGCTGTTGGAAAGGTCATTCCCTTATTCCTGGCTTGGCCAAGTTTCTGATTGAATTGTACAACTGTGACTGTCACTGCCTCTGGCCTCAAGGAGCCAGTCTTCTGTCACACAGCCATCCTGGGTGTGTCCCACTTCAGCCTTGGCCTGACTCCAGCCATGCCCAAGGCAGCTGCAGGCCATCCTGTCCTAGGGCTGGACAGCAGTGCGCTGGATAGACCAGTCCTTCCCATCTCTAAGGACATGCTGTTCCTAGTCCCCACAAGACAGTCCTTGTCTCCCCCAGAGGCTGAGAAGCCCTCTTCTTTCTTCTTTGCCTAAAGAGGACAAATGATATGCTTAGATTCGTCCATTCATTCAGCATTCATCTGTATCTCAGATGCCTGCTGAGCATGAGTCCCATGCTAGCTCAGTGGAGAACACGGGATGACCTGCCCCTCTCCTGGCCCACCCAGAGAGAGGCAGAGGGCTCGAGAGGGATCACAGGCAGGACTATCCATCCCCATCCCAGCTCCATTCCCATCACTTACCTCTCTGTCTGTGCGTCCCTTTTTTTTTTTTTTTTTTTGAGGCAGAGTCTTGTTCTGTTGCTCAGGCTGGAGTACCGTGGTGCGATCTCGGCTCACTGCAACCTCTCCCTCTCAGGCACAAGTGATTCTCCTGCCTCAGGCTCCTGAGTAGCTGGGATTACAAGTGTGTGCCACCACACCCAGCTAATTTTTGTATTTTTAGTAGAGATGGAGTTTTGCCATGTTGGCCAGGCTGGTCTCGAACTCCTGACCTGAAGTGATCTGCCTGCCCTGGCTCCTAAGGTTCTGGCATGAGCCACCGTGCCCAGCCATCCATTTTCTCTTTTGTAAGAGATTACTCAGGATTCTGATAATTAAAAGAGATATAACTCTTTTGAAAACATTAAATTGGTTGGGTGCAGTGCCTTACGCCTGTAATCCCAGCATTTTGGGAGACCGAGATGGGTTTAGCCCAGGAGTTTGAGACCAGCCTGGGCAACATGGTGAAATCCTGTCTCTACAAAAAAATAGAAAAAATAGCGCAGGCGCAGTGGCTCATGCCTATAATCCCAGCACTTCGGGAGGCTGAGGTAGGCGGATCACCTGAGGTCAGGAGTTCAACATCAGCCTGGCCAAGATGGTGAAACTCATCTCTAAAAAAGTGCAAAAAGGGCCGGGCGCGGTGGCTCAAGCCTGTAATCCCAGCACTTTGGGAGACCGAGGCGGGTGGATCACGAGGTCAAGAGATCGAGACCATCCTGGTCAACATGGTGAAACCCCGTCTCTACTAAAAATACAAAAAATTAGCTGGGCATGGTGGCGCGCGCCTGTAATCCCAGCTACTCAGGAGGCTGAGGCAGGAGAATTGCCTGAACCCAGGAGGCGGAGGTTGCGGTGAGCTGAGATTGGGCCATTGCACTCCAGCCTGGGTAACAAGAGCGAAACTCCTTCTCAAAAAAAAATAAATAAATAAATAAAATAAAAATAAAAAAAAAATAAATAAAAATACAAAAATTAGCCAGGTGTGGTGGCTCATGCCTGGAGTCCTAGCTACTCGGGAGGCTGAGGCATGAGAATCTCGTTTGATCCCGGGAGGCAGAGGTTGCAGTGAGCAGAGATCAGGCCACTGCACTCTAGCCTGGGTGACAGAACAAAACTCTGTCTAAAAAAATAAAAATAAATTAATCTTGTATGGTGGTGCACGCCTATAGTCCCAGCTCTTTGGGAGGCTAAGGCAAGAAGATCAATCAGGCCTGGGAGGTGGAGGCTGCAGTGAGATGTGATAAGGCCACTGCAGTCCAACCTGGGCAACAGAGCGAGACTTTGTCTCAAAAAAAAAAAATTTTTTTTTTTTAATTAAAAAATATGGCTGGGTGCAGTGGCTCACACCTATAATCCCAGTACTCTGGGAGGCCAAGGCAGACAGATCACCTGAGGTTGAGAGTTCAAGACCAGCCTGACCAACCCCTCTACCAAAAAACAAAATTAGCCGGGTTTGGTGGCACATGCCTGTAATGCCAGCTACTCGGGAGGCTGAGGCAGGAGAATCGCTTGAATCCAGGAGTCAGAGGTTGCAGTGAGCCAAGATCGAGCCATTGTACTCCAGCCTGGGCAACAAGAGCGAAATTTCATCTCAAAAAGAAAAAAAAAAATGGCCAGGCACAGTGGCTCACACCTGTAATCCCTGCACTTTGGGAGGCCAAGGTGGGTGGACCACCCGAGGTGTGGAGTTTGAGACCAGCCTGTCCAACATAGTAAAACCCCATCTCTACTAAAAATACAATAAGTAGCTGGGCATGATGGCTCACACCTGTAGTTCCAGCTGCTTGGGAAGCTGAGGCAGAAGAATTACTTAAACCAGGAGGCACAGGCTGCAGTGAGTGGACTCCAGCCTGGGCAACAGAGTGAGACCCTGTTTCCAAAAAAAAAAAAAAAAAAAAAAAAAATTAAAAATATGTGAATTGCCAATTTCAAAGAAACCCAGAAAGATTTTTAAAATCATTCATGAATGTTGTCTGTGCCTTGCTCAGAGTAGATGCTCGAAAATGGTGATGAGACTCTAGTTTGGTCTCATGCCAAGGAAGTCCATAAAACTCACAAGTCATTTTCATGATGGACAGAAAAACGTGTGCTTTCTCTGTCTACTGACTCAACTGCACAGGCCATGGGACTGTAGCAGAACCATCTTTTCAGCTGGACATCGGGAGGCCCAAATTCTAGCACGGGACCCAGGGCCAGTTGCTCTCTGGTCCCGTGTTCTCAGTCTCCTCACCCATAATATGGGAAGGAGAGAACCCCCAAATTATTGCTTCTAGCTCCTGAACTCAGTTGTTCAGAACAAGGACTCACTGCTGATTTTTCAACAGCACAAGCAATTGCTGTTCCTGGGAATGTTGGACAGTACCCTCTGTTCTACTGGGCAAGTGGGACTTCCCAGGCCTCTCTGTTTCTTTCTCTCCTTAGAGAGCAACAGACTTGGCCCCATCCCACTTCCCTCACGCCCCTCTCTCTCCTCCCTCAGGACTGGGCACCTCGCTGCCCCCGCTGCTGCCCACTCTGCGACTGTGCCTGTACATGCCAGCTTCCTGACTGCCAGAGCCTCAACTGTCTCTGCTTCGAGATCAAGCTCAGATGAGGACCCAGTGTCCTGCCCTCTGGGGAGCGGCCAGCCCCCAGGGCCCATGTGCCGTCCTTCTTGAGGGGCCTCAGGACACCTTTCTCCAGGCCACTGGAACCACAAATGGCCTGCCCAGCACCCAGGCCTGGGAACTGGAAGTGGCTATGCAAGGCCTGGCTCCCTGCAGGGAAGGACTCTTGGCCGGCTGGACAGCAGCTCCTCTGGAGGGTCAGAAGAGGGGCTAGTGCTCCAGCAGGTGCCCTGGCTCCCCTTCCCCTACCCAAGTGAACGATTCTATTTTAAGGTGGGCAGGGGGGTGGCGCTGCTCACCACACAGTGTTATAGGAGGAGCCTGGGCCTTAAGTACCGGGTACTCAGGGTGCCCCAACCACACTCCGTGCACAGACTGTTATTTTAGGAGGCGAGTATAGTGCCAGTATCTGCTCTCCTTAAAACAAAACAAAACAAAACAAAACAAAAAAACAAGGCTCCAGAGAATCACTACAGTCACCATCACTGCAGGGAGTCAGGGGAGGAGGAAGATTAGAGAAGGAGCCAGGGAGGGCGGCAGGGAGGCCACGTGATCCGAGTCCCCTCACCCCTTTCCCTCCGACAGATCCTGGCCAGAGATTTATTTCTCTTGACAACCAAGGGTCTCTGTCTGGATTTCCAAGGAAGACATTTCCTTTGAAGCACCGGTGAGTGGGCAGGGGCTCCCTCGCCGTCAATAGGGCAGACCCAAGCCTTCCTCCCCCTTCCCCCAGACCGGGCCCCACGCTGGTGTGAATGTCAGGGGCTTCAGGTTTCCCTAAATATAGGTTCCTGCCAGAGGATCCATGGCGGGAAAAGGGCAGAGGTCATCGGAGAAGGTCGGGGACACTGGTGCGGGGCGGGCAGGAGCCGCCTTATAACCCAGCCTGGGCACCCCTGGCTCACTCGCTGCTGACCAGGCTCTGCCGGCTTCTTCAGCCTCGCCGCAGGTGGGCCCCTCACAGGACCGGGCCGGGGTGGGGGTGGGGTTAGGCCGACAGGGTCTTGATGAGTCCGGGTGAGGAGTGGAGACTTGGACGGTAGGAGTTGGGGGCTCAGAAAGCATCTGACGCAAATCAGCTCGGGGACGGATTTTATTCTGGAGAAGGAACTCAGGTCCAAGAAAGACCTTTGGCAGGGACTGTGGCCCCGCATGCCCGAGGCCGAGCAGCGGCCGGTGCATGGCAGCGCAGTCTGGTTTTCGGTGGCGCAGCGTGCCCGCCTGGCTACGACCGCCCGGGTGGAGAGCGCGCGCGCATGCGCGACCCAGCCCGCCCCGCCTGCTGGGAGCCAGCACAGGGGAGGCCTAGCCTCCGCGCCGCGCCAGCTCTGCCGTCCTTCCGCACTTCCGCGTATTCTCTCGCCGCCCTTTCCTCCGCCTCTCTTACCCCTGGGCTACTGACGGTTGGCGGGGAATCGGCTCCGCGCCCTGCACGGCCCAGGCCGCGGGCGAGGCAGGCCGACGCGCGACTGCGCTGTGCGGCCCAGGTGGTGACACACGCCGCAGCCGCGCAGGCCGGAAGCTGGGGCTGGGCCTGGAAGGCCAAGCCCAGCCTCCTTCGTTTCCGACTCTTCCATCCTCATCCCCTACCTTCCCGTCCCCCACTCCTCTGGTGCTAATATTCTGGCTGAGTCACGGCGCCCAAGAGCGCGCCAAGCGGGGGGAAAAGGAGCGGAGGGGAGGGCCCTTGCGACCCGCGGGATGTGGCCCAAGTCACGTCCGACGGGGGCGGGGGAGGAATCGTTCTCACCGCCTGTCCTCTCCCTAGCGCGGCCTCTGCGCTGCGCCTCTCGGGAGCGGCCCGTCGCCCACTCCCTCGCTTGCAATTGGACACCGCCCGCTCCCCGCAAAGGAAAAAGCTCGGCGGAGGGCGGAGTGGTGCCTTTAAAAGGCCGAGCGCCGCCTTCCTCCTGCCCACCCCTTGCGCCGCCCCCTCCGAGGCTGAATCGGCTGCGTTCCTCTCGGAACGCGCCGCAGAAGGGGTCCTGGTGACGAGTGCCGCGTTCGCTCCTTGAGTCCACTCGCCAGCCCGCCGTCCTCCGCCGCCAGATCCCGCACACTCGCCCCTCTCCTGTACCAGGTGAGCGCCCCTCTTCACGTGCGGGGACCAGGGACCGTGGAGAAGGATCTTGAGGGCAGTGGCGGGTTGGGCGTCCGCGTGGAGCCCCCCTCTCACCCCATGCCAGCGTCTCCCCACTACCGGCCACACACAGGCTCCCTGGTCCCTCCACCCTGAGGTCACCTAACTGCGCAATGCAGCCGCTGCACACGCTGAGTCATGGCGGAGGAGGAAGACAGACGAGATGGAGGACCATTCGCCTCCCCTTTTCTTGCAGGGACCCCTGTGGCAAAGGATTAGGGCCCCTTAGTCTCGGCGGGGATCCTAAGAGGCAGTGAGGGGTGAGGGCCGGCCCGTGTACACCCCCAGGGTTTTCGCAAGCGGGAGGTTGGTTCCTGCCCTGCGGAACTGGGCGCCCCTCGCGAGGACGGGAAACCCCTCGGTGGCGCTTGATGCCCCATTAACACTTTTCGTCTTTCCTTATTGGGCGACCTTGATTCTGAGCCCGGAACCAGCTACAGCCTTGCGAAGCGACAGGAGCATTTTTCTTGGAAAGGGATGGGGTGCTTGCCCCTCTGCCCCGTGGGAAGTGACCACGGCAAAGCTTACCGCTTTCCTCTCCTCGCCTCAGGCTAGGACTTGTTGGGCCCTTGCCTGGGCTTCTCCTTGCTCTCTTACCTTTCTCCTAATACTTCTTTCCTACTACCCGTCCCCTCCTTTGTGGGGAAAACCCTGACCTTGGGATGTCCTTGAAGGGTTGGAGCCCGCCAGCCTGGGATCTTGGGTGGATTGGAAGGAACGCCCCAGTCGCAGTCAGAAGAGCTGGCTTAATCTCAGATCTGGCTCCGGGGTTGCTGTGTGGCTTGAAGCACAGACCTTTTCCTTATCTGGGCCCTTTCCTACAAGGGTGTTGGGCCCTCTGCTCGATTCACGACCTTTACATTCTAAAATACTCCGGTTCGATTTTGTTTTCAGGCAAGGTAACCCCATGGCAAGGCGCAAGCCAGAAGGGTCCAGCTTCAACATGACCCACCTGTCCATGGCTATGGCCTTTTCCTTTCCCCCAGTTGCCAGTGGGCAACTCCACCCTCAGCTGGGCAACACCCAGCACCAGACAGAGTTAGGAAAGGTACAGGGGCAGGCCTAGCATAGGGAAGTCGGGCGTACGGGAGAGCTGGGGACAAGAAGTGCCCCCAGGGCCTATTGGGTGTGGGGCAGGGGAGGTAGGGAACATTTGCCCTGACCTCCAGGCAAGGGGCCCTGCTCATTGGGAGATCATGAGAAGGCCCAGCTAACCACTCCTCTCCCTCTGTTTCCTGTACCCAGGAACTTGCTACCACCAGCACCATGCCCTACCAATATCCAGCGCTAACCCTGGAGCAGAAGAAGGAGCTGTCTGACATCGCTCACCGCATCGTGGCCCCGGGCAAGGGCATCCTGGCTGCAGATGAGTCCACTGGTGCGGGCAGGAGACAGAACGAGTGGAGGGTGCAGGGTTGGGAGTGGCAGGCTGATCCCCTAATTCCCATGTGACACGTCCTCCCAGGGAGCATTGCCAAGCGGCTGCAGTCCATTGGCACTGAGAACACCGAGGAGAACCGGCGCTTCTACCGTCAGCTGCTGCTGACAGCTGATGACCGGGTGAACCCCTGCATCGGGGGCGTCATCCTCTTCCACGAGACACTCTACCAGAAGGCGGATGATGGGCGTCCCTTCCCCCAAGTTATCAAATCCAAGGGCGGTGTTGTGGGCATCAAGGTGAGGGGCAAGGCCTCAGGATGTGAGGTTTGAGCTGGAGGTGAAGGAAGGAAATCCAGGTTAGTGAGGCAGGGGATGAATGCTGGGTTGGAGGCCTAGAAACTTGCAGGGATCCTGCTTCAGACTTAGGGCATTTACTCAGCATTTTTAGTCCTCACAATTTTTTTTTTCTTTTTTTTTGAGATGGAGTTTTGCTCTTGTTGCCTCAGCTGGAGTGCATTGGGGCAATCTCGTCTCACCGCAACCTCCACCTCCTGGGTTCAAGCGATTCTCCTGCCTCAGCCTCCCGAGTAGCTGGGACCGCAGGCACACGTCACCACACCCGGCTAATTTTTCACTTTTAGTAGAGACAGAGTTTTTCCATGTTGGTCAAGCTGGTCTCGAAGTCCTGACTTCAGTTGATCCGCCCACCTGAGCCACCCAAAATGTTGAGATTACAGGCGTGAGCCGCTGTGCCCGCCCAATCCTCACAATTCTAAGAGAACAGTATTATTCCTCCTTTACAGATGAAAGTCTCAGAAGCCCAGGGAAGTGAAGTGTTTTGCCCACGGAGTTAGTAAGTGGCAGAGCCCCAGTCTCCTGATGTCAAATAACATCCCAGTGTATCCTGTCTCAGAGGATTCGTTACCGTAACTAAGTGAAAATACGTGCAAGCCCTGAGATGCAGTTTAAGAGATTAAGTACATTTGGGGCAAGATTAGGATTAAAGAGGAAAGGGGTACACGCCTGTCCCAGCTACTTGGGAGGCTGACGTGGGAGGATCACTTGAGCCCAGGAAGTGGAGGTGTCACTGAGCTGGGATCCCACCACTGTACTCCATCCTGGGTGACAGTGGAAAGGGTGCTAGAGGTCATTACTTGTGTCTTAATGTTGTTCCCCCAAACCCCAACAGGTAGACAAGGGCGTGGTCCCCCTGGCAGGGACAAATGGTGAGACCACCACCCAAGGTGAGAACTGTTTGGCTGTCTGTCCTACAAACCCAACCCAAGCAGGTTTGGGTGCAGGGAGGAGTGGAAACCACATGCCCCTCCCCACCGCGCTTTGACTCCTCCATCTTCTCCTAGGGCTGGATGGGCTGTCTGAGCGCTGTGCCCAGTACAAGAAGGATGGCGCTGACTTCGCCAAGTGGCGTTGTGTGCTGAAGATTGGGGAGCACACCCCCTCAGCCCTCGCCATCATGGAAAATGCCAACGTCCTGGCCCGTTACGCCAGCATCTGTCAGCAGGTGGGCCTGCAGGTCCCCAGTAGGCCTCCTCCCACTTAATTGGTTCCAGTGTCACTAACTTGCCAGCTACCCACCATGGTGCCTGCCTTCCCCAAGCAAGCATCAGCCTTGGCCTGTAGAGGACACTCAAGGGCTGTGTGAGGCATAGGGGCTGAGGAGGGATTGTGAGTGGATCTGAGGAGGTGGATGTGGCTGCCTCCTGTAATCTGCTGAAGGCTTTGTAGCCTGAGTCCCTGGCATCATTGAGATACCGTCTTGGCCAGTGGCTGTGTGGAGCTGTAGGTGGGACTCCAGGTTAGGAGGCCTCACAGCCACCCTGTCCCGCACCCCACAGAATGGCATTGTGCCCATCGTGGAGCCTGAAATCCTCCCTGATGG